TATATATGAAATATATAAATACGCACATGTTTTATTTTGTGAGTTTGGAAGAGGGGTGGACGGCGCTTAAGAATTCTTCGGCCACTGGTGTAAATCCGGCTCTGTATGTTGTGCAATTCCTTTAGGAAGCTGAATAGTCATAGCAACTAATTGACACATTTATTATTTTATTAATTTTTTTTTAGTAAAAAAAAAAATATATATATTTTTATTTTGCTCTACAATGACAGCAAGGAGGAACATTGTTTAATGCATGCTAAATGCTTGTGCAATATAATGTTTTTAAATTTGATTTAAAACACTTTTCTGGTGACTAGCAATGAAAGAAACATTTAAAACACAGCTGGATGTCTTTATAATTTAAAAAAAAACATGATTAAAGGAAATATTTAGCAAGGTGATCTAGAATAATGTGGTTCAAATCCTATTAAGGTTTTTTTCTTTATTTGAATTGGTGAATTACAAAATATTCTTCTGAAGAGGTGAAAATGAAGTTTAGGGTCATTTATTAAAAAATATTGAGATTTTCTATAGCAGAGTCATTCAAGCTTTGAGCTACCTGTGGACAAATGAAATTACTTGCAGAGAGGAGGTGATCTGTATCCATCAGAATGTCAGCCTGAGTATGGGAAGACAGCAGGACTCTGGTGAACAAATGAATGGTCATTCTACTGATTTTTGACAGCATTTATAACTAATTATATTTAAAAATGTAAAAAAAAAAAGATCAGACATTCAGAGGAAATATGTAAGGTGTTCCATAGAACTCGTAAAATATTTACCACAGAATAAACTGTACTACGAATGGTTTATGGTGATTCTTTTCATTGTGATCTTATTCACTAAACTCTATAGTGCCAACAACATTTGTAAGACCATCAATATAAAACAGCAAAAAAATATTAGATGATTCAAGCTGGCTGTGACGGACTGCCTGGCACCCCGACTGGGTAACTTCGTCAATCGCTGCTTCCTAGTAATCCTTGAGTACCATAAGCCCCACACCGGACACCATAACCACCGCAAACCGCTGCAGGTTGTTTGGGGTCTCGCTGTCCTCCACCCACCCTGGACCCAAGACCAGGATCCAGCTTTCAGTGGGTAGACCTCTCCTAGTAAAGAAAGCAAAGCAGGCTGCTCTTACAAGAGCAATTGTTGTAAGCCAAGGGAGTATAGTGGTTAAAGCAATCCCCAGAGTGAGTATAGCTCTCCAATCCCCGAAACATGAGCCTAGACGTCATGAAGGGTAAAACAAATCTGTTTAATGACAGCCACAACTGGCCTTATTTGCTGGTCCCCATTGCAAGGGGCACTCCCCTCTGGACCTGAGAGTAGACTATAGTAAAACATACACACAATTACATTGGCTCTCAAGTCCAGGATACTCCCATACAAAAAATCTCAATCCCTCCCCTGTGCCTGGGAGATAATGGAGTCAGCACTGTATTAAACTCAATTATCTCGAGGCACAAAAAACATAATTTTTTACAAAGCCCCCAAAATACCTTTAAACACACAAAATCCCCACAAAGTTACATCCCCGATAGCCCCGATCTGGGTGACCAACATATCCAAAAATCACCCAGATCGGTGTAGGGGTTAAGGAATTTCCTGGAAGTCATAATTTTGTATATGTATATTCGGTCATTTTAATTGAAGCAACTTTGTATACAATGATTTTGACTGCAATTATTTTGTGTTCAGTAATTTTGAAGGATATGCTGAGCTTTGTCAAAGATATAGGATGAAGGTTAATATAGAGCTGAACTATATCCCAGAAATGCAGCTTAGTAAAGAGCTGAGCTATCTTCCAGATAGACAGGGTTAGTAAAGAGTTGGTGTTCAGAAGAACTCAAACCATCCTCTCCATGAGAAGATGTGTTACGTAGGAATCAACACGGGTGACTGACTATGTTAGTGGTTTCTCCAGACATATTTGGACCAGCTCTGTTGATCCACACCATTATCCTTAATTTCATTATTTATGAGTCCTATGTTCCAAACATTGCCAACATTTCTACTTCTGCTATTTATTTTACTACATCACTGTAAATCATGCCTCACTTTTTGTAAAAAGAACCTGGCCAAAAACATGGTATAAATTCTGGGTCAGATATCACGTTTGTGGAGAGAATTATATTTGTTTTATGGCTTGGCGTTGTTTTTCCGCATACTTTATATGAGATCACATCTTAAATATAGTATTGGCAACGTTTAGTATAATTTTCAGGGGGAAAAAAAAAACTTCAATTGATTAATTCAGCCTACTCTGGTTCCTTAATGGAAAAACAACAGTTTCAAGGAGAAATAGATTAAAATAGATGAAAATACCCTAAAAACTGTAAAAATCATGTTTTTCATGGGTATAAAAAAATCCCTTAGAAATACTTTTTGTATTAGACAAGTGAGTGGGCCTCACTGTAACCCCCCAATAAAAAAACAAAATAAATAAAATGAAAATGACGTGTGTTTGTATATAAATGTGTATGTATAGATTATTCTGAGTATGTGTATGTAATTTCCTTAATAAAAGGGGGTTGAAGGGTGCGCACTGAGATACAAAACATTTTTTACAGTTCGGAAAGAAAGTGCCAAAATAAATTTTCACAAAAGGTTCCATGAAACCTAAGTACGCCTCTGACCTCGTGTCGATTTCATGTTTCCCCCACTTGTGAACAGGTACTTCCTTAGTTCCCACACCAAAGAGTGACTGAGATATTACAGGTGTGGTGAGAAGAACAAAAACATCTGTGCTTCTCTAAAACCTTTAAGGTGGGAAGAAGATTCTGTTCTGTAGTAGCCATAGTCTAATCTTGCTCTATTATAAGTTTTATCAAAAACATGCTGAAACTCCTAGATGTTTCTAAGGTAGCTTGTCCATCTGTAGTCCTTGATTTATTCTGAAAAACCATGTTTGCAGGCAGTAAATGCTAAATAAAATCTCCATCTGTGGTCACAGCAAAAGTTATTGTCTAAATCCATATTCAGTAGAAAGGATAAGACCTTTGTATAGTGCAGAAGTCTTCTCAAAATCAGGGCAATGTGTCCTGAGAAAAAAAAAGCATAGGAGGAATGTTATTGTAAATCATTTTTAGCTCTTCAACAAAAAAAATACCATATGAAGACTTGTTACAGAGGAATTCATTGCAAGACCTTGCGGCATTAGCAAAGTACTAATGTAGAGAGAAGTAAGATAATGTATTTTGTGTCTGACAAGGTCATTTACTGATCCAGGATTTTACACAAAGCATTCTGTATTTTATTTATTTATTTTGTGGGGTTTGTTTTGTGCCCCTAAGCTATTATTTCCATTTTGTGTCACATTTTTTCAATTGGGAGATGATATTTATGCCATGCACCTCGGTGGATTAAGACAAATTCAATAATGAAAGCACTTATAGTGAAGACAGGTCAAATGGCAAAACAGAGAAAATTTACCTCGGGGTTAGATAGAAACATTACAAGAGCAGTCAGAATATGTACAATCAATGAAGGGACCTAAAAACAAATGACTGAATTTTTCTCCACACTGATATACGATGTGTTTATCAATATTTTGGCTTATTAGTAGATTTGTCATATGCTCTCACTCAGATCAATATTTTGATCCATTTAGATTTTTATACACACAGAAATATTTATCTCAAATACGTTCTTTGAACAAATCTGACACCATAAATATTATAATGTTTGGGTATAAAGATTACTGTTCTCCTTGCATATTGTAATATTTAGACATAAATTATAGACATATGCAATTCGTTTCAGTCCGAATATGAATTCGGACCTTCGGGTACTTCCGAATGTCCGAATTGCCGAAGTTCCGAATTGCCATGGTCCCGAAATTCTGAAATTACCGAATTTCTGAAGTGCCGAAGTTCCGAAGTTGCCGAAGTTCCGAAGTGTCAAAGTGCCGAAGCACAGTATTGCCTAAGTACTGATATACTTACCCAGCGAAAGAAGAAGAATGTTACATTGTATACAATTTTAAATAAAAAGTATACAAACATAGCCAGGATTCAGCTGTAAGCATTTGCAACACTTACAACAATCAAGTAACACACATTCATATAAAATGTAAGTTACTTGGCCTGTCAATGTAATGACAGGAATGAATAAGTAGATAACTCCCTAATTCCCACAGTATTAGGGAGCTATCTACTAAAAGGCTGAAAGACCTGAATTGGTCTTTCAGCCAAATTTACTAATACTAAGTAAATATTACTTAGTATTAGTAAATTATGCCCCTACTCGCTATACCGCAAGTCTATTAAACAGTGAGCAGCCTGTGGCTTGACTCATAACTCTCTGATTAGTTACTTAATCCACCAATCAGAGAGTTATGAGTCAAATTACACAGCGTGGGAAAATTCCAAAGAACTTCCCCACGCTGTGTAAAATGACACAGAGCACTCTGATTGGTGGATTTCAAACCAACCAATCAGAGTGCTGTGACAGGTAAATGTAGAGACTTACCTTTCAGTCTCTTCATTTACCTGTCAGAGCACTCTGATTGGATGGCTTAAACCCACCAATCAGAGTGCTCTGAGCCTAATTGCAGGGCGGGGGAAGGCTCAGTCTGCTCGGAGCCCTCCATGGGTGAAGATATATATTTTTTTTTGCGCTCTTTTTTTTGTTTTTTTTTAATTGCGTTGGTTATTATGGATTTTTATTTGGCCTTTTTTGGGGCTGAAAAAATAAGATTTTAGAAGAAAGAAAACATTGAATGGTAAGTTTTATTTTATTTACAGGTACTTAGTTAAAGGGTCCCCCCCTCATTATTTTTAGGGGGGAGGGAGTGACTAGGGGTTTGGGCAACCCTAGTCACCTGGGGGGTAACATTTTTTTTAGGGCCCCCACCCGCCGCTCAGGGGTGGGGACGGTGGGGAGGACAATAGGTTCCCCCCTATTGGTATTTAGGGCCCCCACCCCTAAACGGGGTGGAGGCCAGGGGGGAGGAAATTAGGCCCCCCCTTATAATTTAGGGACCCCACCTGTTTTCCTGGCACTGCAGGTCCCCTCTCCCTCCCACCCCTTCAGCAGCTTGGGATGGGGGGTGGGAGGGAGAGGGGACCTGCAGTGCCAGGAAAACAGATTGTTTTCCTGGCACTGGAGTGTCCCTTTAACGTTTAGTCATTGATTGATTTCTGTCTTTCAGTATATCATATAGGTGCATACATGGTTATAATATTTTCTAAATAAAAATAGATCATCGGTTGGTCATTTCTTTGCCTGACTGATATGTCATTGGAGAAAGATTTTTTTTTCTCCATCTCTGTCCATCTCCATCGCAATCGTAACGTTTGGTCAGTAGACACTAAAGAGAATACTTTTGCAAATTAAACCTTGAAGATTTCAAAACTAGTGAGGCACTAAAAATATTAACATTTGACTTAAGGACATGCGGTAGCAGGGAGGAGGGTTTAGGAAAATTTATCCTTATCTTAAAAGTTTAACAACTTTTTTCCAGACTTACATTAATAGCAAAGTTTTATGAAAAGTTAAAACAACCAAAATAAATCAGAAGTTTATCCACATAAAAATCGAGTCAACCAATGGGTTTTTAAAAACAATTAATTAGTATATAAGATGTTTTTGTGTCTATTCTGAAGCTGTTGCAGGGGCAGTGGATCTCTTCCTCGATAGACCATAAATCAAATAAATGCATCTCTCTAGGGGTTTATCATTAATTGAAGCATCCATTATATCATATCTTGACTGAAAGTGATGGAGATGGATCACAGAACAGAGATGGATCACAGAACAAGTAGAAAAATGTTTTTTTTCATGTAGGCAGGGCCGTCTTTAACGCGGGGCAAACGGGGCAGCTGCCCCGGGCCCAGTTTCTCTTGGGGGGCCCGAGGCACCTGCTCCGTGGGCCCCGCTGACCCCGGCGGGCGGGTGGCCGGTCGGGCGGGCAGGAAGGCGGGCGCGCGAGGGAGCACTCACTGCTTCCTCTTCAGCTCCCTCGCGCACCGCACTGATGCCGGAGCCGGAAGATGACGTCATCTTCCGGCGCCGGCATCCCTACGCGGCGCGAGGGAGCTGAAGAGGAAGCACTGAGTGCTCCCTCGCGCGCCCGCCCGACCGCCTGGCCACCCACCCAGGAGCCCAGCAGCACCACTGGACCCCAGGGAATCCCCCAGCACTCCAAAAGGTAAGGAGGCTGGGGGTATTACATTAAAAAAAAAAATGTGTGTATGTGTGTGTTAGTGTGTGTGTTTGTGTGTTAGTGTGTGTGTTTGTGTGTTAGTGTATGTGTGTGTGTGTTTGTGTGTTAGTGTATGTGTGTGTGTGTTAGTGTGTTAGTGTATGTGTGTGTGTGTTAGTGTATGTGTGTGTGTGTTAGTGTGTGTGTTTGTGTGTTAGTGTATGTATGTGTTAGTGTATGTATGTGTGTGTTTGTGTGTTAGTGTATGTGTGTTAGTGTGTGTGTTTGTGTGTGTTAGTGTATGTATGTGTGTGTTTATGTGAGTTTGTGTGTTAGTGTTTGTGTGTTAGTGTGTGTGTGTTAGTGTATGTATGTGTGTGTTAGTGTATGTATGTTTGTGTGTTAGTGTGTGTGTGTTAGTGTGTTAGTGTGTGCGTGTGTGTTAGTGTGTGTGTTTGTGTGTGTTAGTGTATGTGTTTGTGTGTTAGTGTATGTATGTGTGTGTTTATGTGAGTTTGTGTGTTAGTGTGTGTGTGTTAGTGTGTGTTAGTGTATGTATGTGTGTGTTAGTGTATGTATGTGTGTTTATGTGTGTTAGTGTGTGTGTTAGTGTATGTGTGTTAGTGTGTTAGTGTGTGTGTTTGTGTGTTAGTGTATGTGTGTTTGTGTGTTAGTGTATGTGTGTTAGTGTATGTGTGTTTGTGTGTTAGTGTATGTGTGTTAGTGTATGTGTGTTAGTGTGTGTGTATGTGTGTAAGTGTATGTGTGTGTGTGTCAGTATGTCTGTGTGTGTGTGTCAGTATGTCTGTCTGTGTGTCAGTATATATGTGTGTGTATATCTGTGTGTGTCAGTATGTGTATGTGTCAGTATGTCTGTCAGTGCGTCAGTATGTCTGTTAGTGCATGTGTATGCATGTGTCAGTATATCTGTCTGTGTGCCAGTATGTCTGTGTGTGTGTGTGTGTGTCAGTATATCAGTCTGTGTGTCTCAGTGTATGTGCCTGTGTGTGTGTGTCAGTATTTCTCAGTGTATGTGGGTGTCAGTATATCTGTCAGTGTGTGGGTGTCAGTATTTCTGTCAGTGTATGTGTGTCAGTATGTTGATCAGTGTATGTGTCTGTGTGTGTGTGTCAGTATGTCGGTATATGTGTCTGTGTGTCAGTATGTCTGTATATGTGCCTGTGTCAGTATGTCTGTCAGTACGTCTACCAGTGTATGTGTCTGTGTGTGTGTCAATATATGTACCTGTGTCAGTGTGTCTGTCAGTGTATGTGCCTGTTTATCTGTATGTAGTCAGTGTATGTATCTGTGTATCTGCTTGTGCGTCAGAGTGTGTACCTGTGCATCTGAGCCGCAACTTTAAATACAAATACACCCCTCCATTCAAACTTCAACACTACATATAAAACACACTCCTGCATTGAAACGTCAACACTACATACAAGCACACTCCTACATTCAAAAACAAACACTACACATAAATGCACACTTGCATTCAAACTCCAGTACCACATACAAACACATTCACACAAACATACTCCATACAAACACATGCTTACATTCAAACATACTAACATGGCTCAGTGCTAAATACAACCCTGCAAGCATGGGAAATTGGTAGAGTCCCAGCTGTCAAAGCATTGTTGGAGTTGCACGACAGATGGGGTTCTACCTTTAGTCCAACCTTGCAATTGGGGGTCCCAATAAAATTCATTCTACTTTAGTACCGCCACTGCGTTGGGATGGATGCCGTGATTGCATACCAGGGAGTGAGGGGCGAGAGCGGCAGGGCACAGGGGTCCCAAGCAAACACTTGCCCAGGGTCCATTCGTTATTAAAGATGGCCCTGCATGTAGGTACTTTATCATAGACAATCGGTCTCATCCAATAGTTAATCAATATGTAAAGTAGACAACAGGAAGCATTTTTGTTTTTGAACGTCTACAACTATTTGATGTTAAAGTATACTGAGAATTGAAGAACTTTGATAGCTCGAGGGCTACAACTTTCCCTGGTTTAACCAATAAAAGTTGTTATTGTACCATATTATGTAGGTGGTGTAAACTTTAAATTATGACTTTTCTAAAATGTTTTGATTTATAAGTTCAGCCGAACAATTTATATTCTTTATAAAGCTTTAGAATCGTTTAAGCTGTGGTATCTATTTTTTGTATCTACGCCAATGGAGCTCTCTATACTAATCTCAGAAAATCTTTGCTAAAAGGATACGCTTTCCATAAAATGTCTGTCTCCAATTAAAACTGATCATTTTTCCTCTGGCCCATCCTTCTCTTATATTTATTAAGCCCCCTTGGCAATGACTGTCTTTTTTAAGTTCAGACTAAGAGGTGTAATTAACCTGGATAAATATTTTAACAAAATATGATTTGAAAGCTATAATGTTCTATCCATCGCAGAGTAGATTACATTTTGATTTATTTAAAGAAAAAAGAAAGTTAACTTTCTCTCATATGAAGTATGAAAGCATATTCAGATTTTCAAATGAAAAGAAAATTTTATATAGTGCATTTATTTTTAAAAGAATGATGATAACGTACCAAAATTTCAAATTGTCCTGCTCTATGTGACATTACAGAGCTAATACTCTGGGTTCCTTTAACTACTGCATACCTGAAAACAAGAGAAATCTCCATGTATTTTTCCTGGTAAAATATTTTATAAATAAATAAATAAATATCATTCAACTGAGCTTTTCTAAGTTTTCCCTTTAAACCCTATTTGCAAGAAGTCTAGAACTAAAATAGCATATTTTTATAACAAATATACATCTGTGACAGTAATAAGTAGTCATTATGTAAACTGTAGAGTGTGATTGATAAAAGGGCCTTGAATGAGTCTTGTATGAATTAGATCTGGATCTTACATAAAAGTGCTCAAAGGGAACATTGGTTTCGATTTGATGCCATGAAGTTGTACAGATCATAGACTGATATGATGATGTTTGTCCTTGATAATTATTTTAATTGAAATTGACTGCACAATGTCCATATTCCACCATTACATGAAGCTACATTGTGTAGACAAGTTGTATTCAGTAGCTACACATTATGCATAGACTCCAGACAATAGTACAACAAACTGCATATTTGATTCTACATTTCTTGAATAAAGGGTCAACTTACAACATTAGTTTTCTTGCTAACAGTATATCTTCACTGTATCTCCTTTTGTGTGCATTTGACGGTGTCCTTCTATGGTGCACAGCCTGCGGATCTCATGTGATATTATCTTGTGGTATGTTGCCTTGGGATGCTTATTTAACCTTGTCCCGTGGCTTGATCCCTCTCTGTCTCTGCTCTAACCTGCACACTCTTTGCACAATTCTATTCCCTTTATTACTAGTGCGACAGCACAAGTTTATTTCCAATTGTTTGTGGGTCTTGGACTATTGTTATAGAAAGCACAATAAAATGTAGACTAGTAATGCAGAAAAATCGTTAAACTATATTGAAACTGCTAGTTTCACATACAATTTTATTTTGAAATACAACGAGACTGTATTCAAACAGTTAGACTTGGACTGTTCTAATACAATGTTCCTGCTATTATTTAATGGAAATGAAACAAACATTGAGCTAGTTAACATTCCTAGACAAGACCTGAAGTAATGCTACTACACATTCCATCTCACACTGATTGATGGTGACTTGTGTCATACAATGATGACTTTCACTATGGATTCTAATCTACCCGACCTTTCGCCTTCCACTAGTAAAGCTCAGGGCCACCTTTGTCTTTTAGATGTACACAAGTCTTTCTTCAGATGGAGTGTCATGCCACAGTTATTAAATGGAGGTCTAAAGAATGCCTTGTATATCCTTCTTTACTAAATTACTTTTCAGTAGATCTCTTTTCAGATAAGAAGACACACACATTCCAAAGCTCATTTGAAAGGAGATGCAGTATGGATGATGAAAGACATTGCTTC